AATTGATAAAATTAACGATAAATAAATTATTAGATTGCCTCCCCAACTAAAGATAAGTAATTTTTACAAATATTTTAAATAGTTATTATTTAAATTTTTATCATTAATATTTTACTAAAATAATTAAGTAATGGATAACTTTTTAATATAAAAAGTTAATAGTTTAAAAAAATATGACTTAAATTTATGTTTATAATAAAATTGAATAAATATTCTAAATATGATTTTAATAAAATTTAATTTCTAACATTTTAACAAATATTTAAATACAATTTAGGGTACAATCTTAATCGCCTTATCGCCCCATTGCTCCAATATTTATTACTTATATATTTTAAATTAATAAAATTATATTTAAATATTTATATTTTAGTTACAAATTTTAGTAATAAATAATATAAGTAAAAATTTTTTAATTAAAAAATTATTTATTGTTAAAAATTGTAATTACAATACTTATTATTTAAAATCTACCAAAAAAATATTTAAATAAATTTTACTATTTATTAAATAATAAGTATATTAATAATAAAAAATATATAATTATTTAAATATAATTTTAAAAATTAAAATATTTAAGTAATTAATGTTAGAGCAATGGGGCGATGGGGCGATGGGGCGATTAAGATAGTACCACAATTTAGTACCATGTGTTTTAATGATGCTAATTGTCTGTACTATTATATTGATTTATATTAATAATATATATTAAATTATTTAATTTTTTTAAAAATAGTTTTCATAAACTAATCTAGATAGAATTTTTAAAAAAAAATTATAATAATTTTGTTTACTAAATAATTTAATTAAAATATTTTATATTATAACTAAACTATAATTTTTTTTTATAAATTAAAATGATTTCTTTGAGGATTTCTAATAAATTTTGTTTTAGAATTTTCTTTATATAGAAATAATAATTTAAAAAAATAAATTAGTTTATTAAAAAAAATTTTATAATAAAATTTCTTAGATAATAATCTATTACTATTAATATTTAATTAAAATTTCAATTATAATATTAGTTTTACTAAAAAATTATATAATTAAACAAACAAATTATATTTTAACTAATATTTAAATTAATTTTATAATAGTAGTATATTAATACATAATTACTTAATCTTGTATATTAAAATTTACAGTTTTTATTTATTTTGAATTATTTTTTTAAACAAAATATTTTTCGAAATTATTTTTCTGTGAAAATTGAATAATTTATATAAACATTTAGTATTTTTTTTTATTTTAAAACTTTTTACTACTTTTAAAACTATTTTTCAGAAAACAAATTGGTTTAAAATATGAATTATTTAGTGTAATTTATTTTATTAAATTGATTTATAAAGTGGCTTTATAAATAATATTTGTAAATAATATGAAACAATAATAATTTTTAAAAATTGTAAATTTTACATAACAAGTTTTTTGAATAATTTAATAGTAATAAAAATATAAATCATAGAATGATTGGGCTTCTATTTTTTTAAATATCTTTATAATATTTATATTTTTTTAAAAAATAACTAATAGTTCATAAACTAGATTATCCATAGATATCATTTTTTTGTTAAATAAAATAATTTTACTAAAATATAAATAATAATATAAATTAAATAATATCTTTTGGTAAATTCTAAAATATATTATTTTAGAATTTAATTTATATAAAAAATAATAATTTTGAAAATAAATTACTATTTATTCAACAAGAAATAAATTGTTTAATTAAATTTCTTAGTTAATAATTTATTACTATAAATATTTAAAAAACATAAATTATAATATTAGTTGTAATTATAAATATATACCATGTTTATTATTATTATATACATTTAATTGTTAATTTTTAATAGACGTTTGTTAGCCAGTATAAATAGTAAACTAATTTGAAAATTTTAATTAAAAATAAATTTATTAATAACTGTAATTGTGTTTTTAAATATATTAATAATTTTTATTATTTAGTAATTATTAGCAATTAGTTTCGTTTACTAGGGTACTATTAATTTATTTATACTAATATTTAACTTAAAAAAATTTATTTATTTAATTATTGTTTTTTACTGTAATTATTTTGTTGTTTAATTTAACTTGTTGGTTATTTGTTTTAAATAGAAAATTAATAACTTATTATTAGTTTATTAATAGCTGTCAATATTTTTTATTTATATTATAAATTTCTTTATAGTATTTTTTTTATCTAAGTATTTAGTAATATTTTTTTTTTGGTTTTATTTTGTTTTATAAAAAATTTAAATAATTACTTATATAGTTTTACTAATAATATTTGACTATAAATATTTCCAAATAATATAAAACAATATTTTTTTAAAATCAATATTTGTATATTTTACATTAATTGAATAATTTAACATTAATAAAAATTAAAACTATAGCATACACTAGAATGTTGATATTTTTAAATATTCTAAAAGTGTAATCAAATCATCAATAGAGATTATCTATTTATTTTAAATAAGCTATACTAATTTAATAACAATTAATAAAATATAAAATAAAACCTTTAATTGGTGAACGTTTGTCTTAATTAAACTAATTTTTATTTAACTAAAAATATTATTAAATTAAATTAAATTACAGTTTATATTTACAGTATTTTTTTAACTGTTAATAGATTTAAAATTAATATAATTTTGAATTAACTAATTATTTTAGAAAATGAAATCAAATTTTGTTATAAATAAAAAATAATATTTATGTCATTTATTTTTATTATATAATGTAATATACTTTAAGCAAAATAAAATTAATTTTTTAAATCTTATCATTCTTATTTAATATTTTATACTTTTCTGACACAATTATAAAATTTTTAGTTTATTATTTTAAAACTATTAATAACAATTTATAAAAATCTTGTTGTTGAAAATAATATTATAAACATTAAGATTATTGATTAATTGTAATTATTTTTTTTATAATATTGATTTAAATGATTACTTAATAATAAAATTTTGATTTAATTTAAATAATTAATTTAAAATAAATCATAAAGCTGTATATTGTACATAAATAGCTAATTGAATAATTTTAAATTAACAAAAATTCAAAATTATAGTTTAGAGGCCATTCAGCCATATTTTAAAAAAAAAATATTGAAAATGTTATCAAATTAATAATATAGACTATTGTTTCTACGTTTAATTTATTTTAACTAAAAGATTGTCATCAAAAAAAATAATTATTAAAACTTTTAGTAAATTTTATTGAAAAAATATTAGACAAGCAAAATTGTTTTATAATATAGTAAAAAAAATCTATCTATATATTATTATTATTAAATATTATTAAAATTAAATATATGAATAATTCAATACTATAACTTTAATATACTATTAAAATATATTATTATTTATTTAATTATATTTGTATTTCAATTAACATATTGATTAGATTTTAATTCACAACATAATAAATAAAAAATATTAATAACTAATAAATAACATAATTTTTTAATATAATTAAAAAAAACAAAATTTATTTAATATTTTGTTTTTTAAATTATAATTTTTAAAGTTCAGATAAAGTTTTTTAAATGTAAATTTCATGATTTTAGTAAATATTAAATTTTTATGGAAAACTGTAGCATTAATTTAATATTTTATTAGATATTAGATATTTTACTTATTTTTAATAAAATATTAGATAGAGGAAAAAATACAAATTAAATTTGTATTGTATTATTAACTTTTTACAAATAATTATTAAAATAAACTAAATAATAATATATAACAATATATATATATATATATAATATATATTATTTTTTTATTGTAATTAATTATATTAATAATAAATTTTTTAGTGATTTAAATAATTAGATTTTATTTTAAATATAATATACACTACACAACATAAAAAATAAAAAATATTATTAACTTATAATTAATTTAATTCAAAAACGGAAAATAAATAAACTGTAAACTTTAAAAAACTTTATAATAAATTAAATTCATATAATTAGATTTCAATTGAACGATTAAAAATTATTTCAAAATTTATTTTTATTAAAAAATTATATTATAATTAATAAATTATATAATAAAACCATATCAAAATTCAAAACTCAAAATTTTTAAAAATAAATTATATTAAGCTAAAATTAATAAAAATTGAATTAGATTACTGTTTATTTTTATACTGTTAATATTATAGTAAAAGTTAAATTTACACAATTTATTAATAATTTAACAAAAATAATTTTAATGTGTTTTATTTTTAATTATAGAATATTGTATAGAATATTGATTTTGTAAATATTTAATAATACAAAATAATTTTTTTTTAAATCTTATAATTTTTCAATAATGTTTTATTATATAAATATTATTGTAAAATGTAATCAAATCATCAATTTGTGCCAACAGTTTGCGACTTTAGTTTTAATCTTAACTAACAGATTGTCTTCAAAAATAAATAATTAATAAATATTAATATAATAATAAAAATATTAGTAATAATTAATCTTTAATTTTATATATAAATAATTTAAATTAAAAATTTTCTCTTATTTCTTTCCCACTAAAATATTTAGTTTTAGAATTTATATTATATAAAAATATTAATTTTTAATATAAATTACAGTTTGTTTTATTTAATGTCTATTAGTCAACAATTTATTATTATAAATATATTTTTGTTTTTATATACCATGTTTTCAAAAATTTTTATAAATTAATGTTAGTAATTTTAATCTGAAGATTGAGCATTTTATTTCTAAATGTTGAATTAATATATTATTTATTATGTTTATAGAAATTAATTGTTTTAAAATTTAAATAATTAAAAAAATCAATATTCTATTTGTTAAAATTGTTATTGATTTACTAATTTACCTATAAATATTACAGTACTAAAAAATTTAAATAAAAATTTTTAATTGTAAAAATTAATGTTTTTTTTAAATAATTGAATTAATGAATTCAAAAGCAGCTAGATTTTATAATTTTGTTTACTATATAAATTTTATATTGTAGGGAAAGTGGGTACATTACGGGTATCTAAGTTTGTCTAACCTTCCTTATGTAAACCAAACACTCGGCAATACACCACTTACCTTACGGTTTTGACTCTTTTAGTGATAACTTATAGTAATGCGTGGCTTAGGAACGAGCGGTTTCCTATTTATTCTACTCTGACCAATTAATTCTTTAGCCCAAATAGGTTTTGTCCCCCAATAGGGTCTGTCACCCAAATAGGGTCTGTCACCCAAATAGGGTCTGTCACCCAAATAGGGTCTGTCACCCAAATAGGGTCTGTCACCCAAATAGCGTCTGTCACCCAAGTAGGGTCTGTCACCCAAATAGGGTCTGTCACCCAAATAGGGTCTGTCACCCAAATAGGGTCTGTCACCCAAATAGGGTCTGTCACCCAAATAGGGTCTGTCACCCAAATAGGGTCTGTCACCCAAATAGGCTCTGTCACCCAAATAGGCTCTGTCACCCAAGTAGGGTTTCAGATCCGTCTAGGGTTTCAGATCCGTCTAGGGTTTCAGATCCGTCTAGGGTTTCAGATCCGTCTAGGGTTTCAGATCCGTCTAGGGTTTCAGATCCGTTAGGGTTTCAGATCCGTCTAGGGTTTCAGTCCCGTCTAGGGTTTCAGATCCGTCTAGGGTTTCAGATCCGTCTAGGGTTTCAGTCCCGTCTAGGGTTTCAGATCCGTGTAGGGATTCAGATCCATCTAGGGTTTCGGATCCGTATAGGGTTACAAGGCCTGGAAGGACCGTGGGCCTGGAAGGACCGTGGGCCTGGAAGGACCGTGGGCCTGGAAGGACCGTGGGCCTGGAAGGACCGTGGGCCTGGAAGGACCGTGGGCCTGGAAGGACCGTGGGCCTGGAAGGACCGTGGGCCTGGAAGGACCGTGGGCCTGGAAGGACCGTGGGCCTATAAGGACCGTGGGCCTATAAGGACCGTGGGCCTATAAGGACCGTGGGCCTATAAGGACCGTGGGCCTATAAGGACCGTGGGCCTATAAGGACCGTGGGCCTATAAGGACCGTGGGCCTATAAGGACCGTGGGCCTATAAGGACCGTGGGCCTATAAGGACCGTGGGCCTTAAGGACCGTGGGCCTATAAGGACCGTGGGCCTATAAGGACCGTGGGCCTATAAGGACCGTGGGCCTATAAGGACCGTGGGCCTATAAGGACCGTGGGCCTATAAGGACCGTGGGCCTATAAGGACCGTGGGCCTATAAGGACCGTGGGCCTATAAGGACCGTGGGCCTATAAGGACCGTGGGCCTATAAGGACCGTGGGCCTATAAGGACCGTGGGCCTATAAGGACCGTGGGCCTATAAGGACCGTGGGCCTATAAGGACCGTGGGCCTATAAGGACCGTGGGCCTATAAGGACCGTGGGCCTATAAGGACCGTGGGCCTATAAGGACCGTGGGCCTATAAGGACCGTGGGCCTATAAGGACCGTGGGCCTATAAGGACCGTGGGCCTATAAGGACCGTGGGCCTATAAGGACCGTGGGCCTATAAGGACCGTGGGCCTATAAGGTACACTAAGAGCCGTCCGTTAACGGATACGGGGTCCGGAGTTCTCATAATAAAAATATTTACTTACGTAATAGTTGTTAGCTGTCCGCGTAGTTGTGGATAGGTCCAAAGGCGTCCCTTAAGATGTCCAAACAGTTGATTCGCGATGACAAAGTAAACACACACACAAAGTAATATGCAAATACTTTTATTAATTCACTTTAAAGTAATACACGTAGTATGACTCCAAATGGAGAACTGATTTTGGTGTCTGAGAGACACCTCTATTTATACTAAAGTGTACGTGAGGAGAAAGTGTGTCACATTGAGTCAGGATTTAATCACTATTAAAACTGGGAGTTTACTATTTAATTTTTTCTATAACATTTTAGTGCATTATTTTAACACTCTATTTAACACAAAATATTGGATAAAGTTTCCTTAAAAACAAGGTGTTTACCTTTAGGTTTTTTGTAAAACATTTTAGTGCTGTTATAAATTTTTAACAAATAAAAATAAGAATAATTTTTGAAATAATTTTTCAGAGTATAACAAATAAAATACCCTTACAATATATCCTTGACTTCAATATAAAATTATTTAATGTTGAAATATTAGTGTATATAAGCATTTGTTTATTATAGGGAAAGTTTTCAATAATTTAGCTTATGTAATAATTATGTTTTTAATTATTTAAATAAAAACAAAACTATTTTGCTGATTTGACCCACTATTGCATTTCCGCCCCTTCAAGTCTTCATCTGTCCTCAGATGTGTAAAATCAGTAACACTAATAACTCATGTACACATTAGTTTACAAATTTATAAAATATTACTATAAAATCCCTTCACCTTAAAAAAATGCATGCATTATATAAACTTTAATCTAAAATACCAATAAACCATGCATTATAATAAAATTTTAACCATTGTCCGTTTTCTGATCATCATTGTGCTTTGTTTCTTTTTCCGTGTTATCATCTATTTCATCGTCCAGTTGATTTTCATTGTCATTTTGTGTAGTAATATGTTTAGCATTGTTACTATCTACTTCATCAATGCCGTCCAATTCAGGAATTGTTTCATTGTTCCATTTTCTTAATCGTCTTATATGTACTTTCTTAAACTTTTTCCTTGGATTATGTACACTTTGGACAGTGTATACAAGTGGACTGTGCCGCGTAATTATCTTATAAGGGCCAATATATTGGCTTAGTAATTTCGTACTAAGACCAATCTCTCTGTGAGGAATATGTAGTGACACCAAGTCACCCTCCTCAAATACTACATCGCGATGTTTAGCATCATAACGGAATTTACCATCATTATGAGCCTCTATAATTCTCATATGAACCAATCTTCTTGTCTCCTCCATATATTTTAAATAATTAGTGCCAAATGCAAAGTCACGCGGCAGATCATAAGATACGTCAATTGGTACTTTTGGTTCTCTTCCATATAGTAAGAAAAACGGAGAAACTTTGGTAGCTTTATGATGACTAACGTTATACGAGAATGTTACTTTGGGTAAGTACTGGTCCCAATTGGTAACATTATCTTGAACATAATGTTTAAGCATCATAGCTACAGTCCCACATGCTTTTTCTGCTGTTCCATTCGATTGTGGACTATATGGTGTGGTTTTCACATGTTTGGAGGCTGTCAACTTAAAGACTTCTTCCATAAAGTCTGATATAAAGTATCTGGCATTATCTGTTAACACTTTTTTAATGGCGCCGTGTCTTGCCAATACTTCATCTACAAACCATTTCGCTATGGTAATGGCTTGTACATTCCTCACTGCCTTTGTCTCCATCCATTTTGTAAATAAGTCAATCATTATTATAATGTATTTACTGCCTTTTGACGTCGGAGAGAGAGGCCCAAGTATGTCTACTCCGACAATTTCAAATGGTTCATTGGCATCGATAGGCTGCAGCATTCCTTTCTCCAGTTTATTGTCGACTTTATTCAACTGACATGACTCGCAGTTGTTTACGTATTTTCTGATTGACTTTTCACAGTGAGGCCAGAAAAATCTCTCTTTGATTTTTCCATATGTCTTTTCAAATCCTAAGTGAGCTCCGGACAACTCATTGTCATGTAAATCTTGTAGGATTTGTCGTCTTAATTCTTTAGGAAGGCATAACTGTAGCCTCCTATTTCTATTATCATCATAACTTATCCTATATAGAATTTCATTTTCAATAATGAATTTGCTTAAGCTTTTACTTTGTTGATTATTTTTTATTTTCTCTTTTAATTCTTTACACCATTTATCACTATCTTGTTTCTCTATTATGTTTATTGTAGGATTTATTAGTACTGGTATTACTGGTTCCCAATCGTCTGGTTTTTCGTATGGATATCTTGATAATGCGTCAGCATTGTTATGTAATTTTCCTTTCTTATATTTCACTTCAAAGTCATATTCTTCGAGTATTGTTCTCCAATGCATTAATCTTCTGTTTGGGTTTTTCAAATTTCTAATATATTGTAGTGGATTATGGTCACTATATACCACAAAATGTTCGCCATATATGTAATGTCGATACCTTTCAACAGCCCATACTATAGCTAAACATTCTTTTTCTGTGATACCATAGTTTAGTTGTGCACTATTAAACATTTTACTGTTGTAACTGATGACGACATGTTTACCATTTTGAATTTGTCCTAGTATTGCTGACATGCCATAGCCACAAGCATCAGTGAATATTTCAATAGGGGCACCTTCTTGATATTGTGCCAGTATTGGAGCTGTAATTAATCTATTTTTAAGTTCATCAAACGCTTTTTGACATTTAATATCCCAGTTAAATTTAACATCTTTGCGCAACAGGTTTGTTAATGGTTCGGCTACAAAAGCATAATCTTGTACAAACACTCTATAGTAATTTGCTAGTCCAAGAAAGCTTTGTACATCTCTAACTTTCTTAGGTATCGGGAATGCTTTAACTGATTTTATTTTGTCTTCATCTGGCTTTATTCCATCCGATGAAACTATATGTCCTAAATACTTTACTTCTTTGCAAAGAAATTCACATTTTTCAATGCCTAGTCGTAGATCATATTCTCTAATTAATTTCAAGACGCTTTCCACGTGTCGTAGATGTTCATCAAATGTATTGGAGAATATTATTATGTCATCCAAATATACTACGACAAATTGATACAATACATTTCTTAAAACTTTTTGCATATATCGTTGAAATGTCGCCGGTGCATTGGTAAGACCAAACGGCATCACTTTAAACTGATATAAGCCATCAGGTGTTATAAATGCTGTCTTTGGTCTATCTGATACTTTTACATGAATATTCCAATATCCACTTAATAGGTCCATAACAGTAAAGTATTTACTTCCTTCAAGAGCTGCGAGAGCGTCGTTAATCAATGGTAAAGGATGTCTGTCTTTGATTGTAATAGAATTTAGTTTTCTGTAGTCTACACAAAATCTAATTTTGCCATTCTTCTTCTTAACTAATACTACAGGAAAACTATATGGTGATTTACTTTCTTCGATAACATTTGC